CTTTGTATGGTTAATAAGCGAAAGCCTTTCTTTTCTCTCTCTCTCTCTCCCTCTTCGTTAAGAGAGACTATGGATGCCCCCCGTGGTAACGAGGCTTGGCTCCCAGCCAGGTAATTAACTGTGCCGACCTGCGGACCATTTGTCACTTTCCCTTAGGTTTTAGAGTAATCCTTCTGAGGACAGATTTCCCTTAGTTACCAGAGGATTACATTCTGCAATGTCCCCTCTCACGGGCCAAAGCTGTCACCAAAAGGTGCAACGCTTCCGAGCATATTCATATTTATTAGCTGCACGATTGTGTTATGATGGCACGGAGCGCCAAATTCACTCTGAAATGGCGTGTCCAGGTGGGTGGGGATGGGGAAGATGTTTTGAATGGCTTATGATTTAATTCATTCCTAATTTCGTTTTCCCGTAATTGTTTCTCTACTCATACGCACGGCGAAATATTCGAAACAGATAACCGAAGCCCGGGGGGGCTTTTTTGCACGCGTCCATTTTGTGTCAGGGCACGTTGCATTTCGGTGAACGTCGGACCGATGCTTGCCTCGGCGATTTCCACCGTGCAAAACAAACGCAAATGAATGCGTGTTTACGCGTAAGCAGGCGTGTGCGCTTACAGCTCACGGAGAGCGGCTTGTTATTGTCAAAACGATGTCTATACCAAAGTATTCCCTCTGCGCTTTCTAAGGTTGTGATGTTAAAAATGATTGACCGGTGCGGTGTCATTTCTGTTAAGAGAGCACTCTATCAATATCAAAGTCCCGCAGGGTCATAATGCTTAATGGAGCATTGCCGCAGTGAATATTGCCATCAGGTGCATACCTTTATTTTGATAGAGTACTGTCCTTATCAACTTGATGAGGTCATTTGCCAGTTGTTAGGCATGTACTGTACTTTACAGCTTACAGCTCGCACAGAGTACGGTCGCTATAAGATGGTCTCTATAAGCTGCCAAACATTTTGAAATCATCATCAAAATCAGCCATGATCCATCCACTGTTCAACGATGGCCTCCCCAAGCCATCACCATCTCTCAGGGCCCCCGCGGTTTAACAAACCACACAGCGCCTGAGCCTAATTTCATCGCTCCATCTCCGCAAGCAGACGTCCTCCGCTTGTTAAGTATAGGGTTCCCTCGCTATTCGCGACGAGGAATACATTCCAGAGATGCTCGTGAATTGCACATTTCGCGGGTAATGATATTACCTTAATAATACACCAAGACTTATTATACACATGCAAATTATCTGATAACTTAATCTCATCACTTTCTCGCATGACATTCTTTCTCGTCACTCTATCTCATCGCTTTCTCTCTCTCTCTCTCGATGCAGTCGTGTAGAGTTCCAGTTGCGAATCGCGGATAGCCAAAATCGCGGATACCAAGTTCGTGAATAACGCGGGAATACTGCGCTGTATATGTTATTTTTGAAGCAAAAATACGAATTAAGTTGTATAAACGTTTCTGCCGTGATGTGATGTCGTCATCACAACAATACCATTTGGTCTGCAATTGTTTGTATTTCATTCCTTGTGTCATTTGCACACCTGGCATTGTGACTTTGTCCTTCTCATCGCAAAAACACATTTTTCGTTTTCCTATCGCGATTTTGCTTTGAGAGAAATTGTGAGCAAATAAATCAAAACGTCATACTAATAAGCTCATCACCCTCGTCATATCAAAATTGATTTAAAAATATATGCATATGATGCGGCACTTGCATTGTCATTCAGTGAATGAGACACAATTAAAAAAGCATCCAAAAGAGGACCGTAAAATAATACAAAGAATAATACACATTTATTTATTTTTGCTATGATACATTTAAAACCCAGTGCGCTTTCTATATGATGAGAACTTGTCTTCAACATGCCGTGATCATGAACTTCTATTGGTGTATCATTATTCTGCTATCTCTTTCAGAGAGTATTTAGGCACTGCGTAAGATCTGGTGTAAATGTACGGCTGGGAAGTGATGTGTACCTTCTGAAATGCAATGTTAATATTCCTGCTATCAGAATTTACTGCGAAGGAGATCTCTTACGTTAGCCTGGCTGCACGCAAAGTACTTTAAGTAAATAAATGAAAAGTTACTTCTCAAGAAAGCCATATCCTTCACTCTATTCGTATTGCATTCAGGTGGTAGACATCAATTTCAATGTAGAAATATCCGAGTTTTATTTTTAAAAATATATGAAGTCCAGTGTCATTTTGGTAAAACATATGGGCGCACATTTATCATTTCAACACCGATGTAGATGTAAGAACGCGCAGAACCGCACCTAACGCAGTTATTTTACGGATGTACTCCGTGAAATAACGAGGCGTACAGGGAAATATGGAACTGAAAAATAAGTGTCATCATCAGCCGTGGTTAATTCACTGCTGGGTGTAGGGCCACCTTAAGCCACCAAATCTCTCACAATCCTTGGATTCGATAATCAATGTAGCACCTGTGCACAAGCTGATTTCATCTCTACATCTACCCGGTAGATGTCCTCTTCCCAGCATTCCATTCCTTGGCTGCCACTCCGCTATTATTGTTGACTATCGGCCATCATCTCTTCATGGGACCCATCCTCCCTGAGCCCGCTTGATCTTTTTAAGCGATAGAATCATCTCTTGAACCTGTGATCTTCTCTAATGTTAGTGTTCCTCGTTCTGCTTCTCAGTACAATTCTAAACAAGCATATATCTGCGCTTCTCAGTGCAAGATTAATATTTTTGTTTAAAAAAATTGTCAGTGACCGTGTTTCTAAAGCAACATAGGAAAGTAAATTTTAATTGTGTAATTTAATCGGTAACAAATAAAAAAAAACAATAGTGAGTGACGCGGTGTGTTTAAGTGATTATATTATTAGTGATAGTCAAAGAAAGCGGCACAGTTGTTCTCTTCAGTGACACATCATCCAGCGGAAATTTCAATAACAAAAAAAAATCGGCATCAAACAATGCCCTTGGATTGGTCATTGGATATTCGCGTGTTCCCTTTGCGTACAGGTTCACTCCTGTGTGTGTGTGTGTGTGTTTCACGATAACGGACAGCATCAGCAGGGCTCCCTCGACAGACGGGATCTGCCATGAATGACGGATGGAAGTCAGAACCCAGACGGTCACATTTCCTCCAGCAGTTGGGGGTGCACCAAGCAGGCGGCTCTGATGGCGGAGGAGGCGACGGGGGGTGGGGGGTTGAATTTTTATTTACTTATTTATATATTATGATTATTACTGGGCCCCCCCTCCATCCTCGCTTTTTTTATAAATTTATTTCGCAGCAGGAGGTTGCGGGTGAGACTGCGCAGGGTAAGGCGGTAGATATTGCTGCACGGTCGCATCATTCGCTCGGCAGCTGGTGCGGTGCTCACGTGGTAGAGGGAGGAGGAGGAGGTGGTGGAGGTTGCTGGAGGTGATGGAGGTGTTTGGAGAGAACGAAATGCTCGTGGTGTGGGGGGCGGGGCAGGGGATGGTGGTGGGTTGTGGAGGGCATGAGCGCTTGGGTGTTGTAGTGATGGAGCAGTGGGTGGGGGGGGGGCCGCTCTGCTATAGGGACACCGATGTAAGGGTGGGTGGTGAATTTCGATGGAGGGGAGGGGGGGTAACCCAGGGGTCAGCTTAAGCGCTGATGTTGTTGTACAGCTCTTAGGCGGTTCCACGTGCGTATTCATTCGTGGACTTGGCCTCGTTTTCCTCCCGTGAACACGTGACCATCTAAACACACATTTAGCTCCGTGTTCGCTGATGTGGCGATGGGCTTGGTTGTTGTTGTTGTTGTTTGGGGGTTGGGTGAGGTTTGGTCCACGTGTTTATTTTTAACCGTGCACTCATTTATTAAGCAACGCTTCGGTTTAATTTTCAATGCGTGCATGTACATTGTTACAGTTCCCCGTGTACCCCATGATGGAGCTGTTTGCGCGGTTGTCAATGAATGGTGGTGATATCGTTGGGAAAGTTTGCACACCTTTTCGAAAATGTAGTTGTGACTTGAGTGCGCGTGCACGCGTGTGTGTGTGCGCGCGAGAGAGATGGGAAGATTCGTTATTTCGTTTGCGAAATTGGTGGTCATGAACACAACATTTGGACGAGCCCATCTAAATTTGCCAACGTTATTAAGCCTCGTCATTCACACTGAGTTGTTGCCGTGTGAAAGATTCGCATGCATGAATGTGTTATCCCAAACCCGGCGTGTTGTTGTTGTTGTTAAGAGCCATCCATAGCTATTGTTCATTAGTGGATTGCATATTCTTATTTACACTGGTGTACGTTGTGAAGTACAGTACAACGTCGCAAATTTTAACCGCTGAGGACTCAAGGGCCAGGCGGATATGTTGATAAGTTCAGAAATGTGAACCCATGTTAAAAATTACAGTTGCACCACTACGCACAAATACGTTACTGGACGTACAAAAAAAACGAGGGAAAATGCTCCGCTGAGCTTTCGGAACAAGCGGATGTACGCGCCACCAAGAACACAGAACCGTGCGCGAACGTCACATTTTCGTCCCTTTACAGAAAGTGACAGTTACACTGTTGCGCAAACGGCGCACTGTGTGTGGGCCCGGGTAGGTCGCGATTCGTGACGGCCGGACACGCGACGTTGCACTGCTTTGTATTCGCGTTTTGTTTTTTCCCCACGCCTCCGATTCCACAATACGCTTGTTCATTTGAATAGGCTACCTCTGCAGTTGCTCCGTATAAACCATTTCAGCGTACTCATGTATCATATATATATTTTTGGCAAGAATCCTCAAGGTAGCTTTTATTTCCCTTCGATAAGCCCTGCGATGAGGCATCTCTTTTTTGTGTGAATTTGAAGCCAGGTTGTATTTCCGCTGTTAAACCGAGATGGGGAACGATTGCAGAATTCGTTGCGAGAGCTTTGCTTGAATTTGCTTGTGAAACTACCGCCGCTGCACGTGGCAAAATGCTGTCATCAGTATTCCGGCACGGCGCTCGGCATGTTCTGTGTTGACTCTTATCTCCATTGATTTGTCCACAGCAATTGGCCAGAGGCCTCAAAGAGCCATCCCATCAGCGATAGAAGCCTTTGAGAAGCATCTGGGAAGTCAGATACTACAGGCAAGTCCCAAAACACCTGCGTCACATTTTTTCCTCCAGGGTTTGCGCGAACCGGGAACGGCGACGCGTTTGGCCGGCTGCAGCGCCGGGGAAATCGTCGCGACGCGGATTTCTAATCGATCACGTCGCTCGATCTGAGTGACCTCCTGACCCGGCTGACACCGCTGGCCTTATTAAACAGTCGCTGTTGTGAGCATTAAGGCGAGCGACGCACACAGCTTCATTGTGTCATCAACGCTTTGGTTTCGACACACAATTAAGATATGCAAGGTAAGATGGATATTAGCACACCTTGTGTAAGCACACCTTAGACCAAGCCACGGTGGCTCAGCGGTGGGATGAGGAGGCCTGCAACCGGCGGGAGCTCACTGGGTTCAAATCCTGGTTTGGGGATTGAATCGGCCTATCAAAAATTAAACGTAGTGGGGTTTATTTTTTCGTGCCAACTTTGGCGATGGGCTGTGAATATCATCTGGCTGCAGTTTGCCCACGGGTGACTGCCCACATTCTAACGGTCGAACCCAAGGGTCTCGATGGTGCCAGCTCAAGTGCTCCCTGACCCCTGAGTTACCCGGCCACCTCCTGTCATCAGTCTTTTTATTTGTAACAATGCAAGCCCGTTGCCATGCCCAAGGATGTCACAAAGCCTCTGTTCTTAATGAGAAAAAAAAAATGCATCACCCCCCCCCAGCCTCCCTCCCTCCCTTCTTTATCTTCACGTGCATCCCGTGACACTCCAGAGCGACATTTCATGCACGTACCTTCCGACGATGCACATTTGAAATGCTGTTCTCTCCGATTGCTTCAGGAGCTGTTTAGCAACGAATATAACTTGATAGAATGAAGAAGAAAAAACCGTGACACGTGTGCCTGGTAAGATGAAATCAAATCGACTCGGTCAACTGAAGCACATCAGAGTCAGGCACAGAAAGAAATTGAAAATCTCTAAATGCTCTGGCACATGCGGTCTTTATTGCATCCATATTTGTTTGTCTTAGATGTGAAACGGATGGCCACGGGAGCGTTGCCGTCTTTTGAGTTTATTTTGTTTGTTTTGTAAGTCGCCTGGTGAACATTCTATCACAGTGTTGTCTCTTTTGCTTTTTAATGCCCTGCCCACATGCCAGCTTTATTTATGTCACTATTTTCACCTGCAATTGTTTTGAAATGGCTTTCCATTTCTCCCTTTGTGGTCAAATCTCCCGCAAGGTTAGCAGGGCGGTATCTGTGAGCTGTCATACTTTTCTAAGCGGCTCCGTTCTGCGAGCCAGTTGAGGCCTGGTCCAAAGCTACCGTGCAGTTTATTGAGCACAGAAGACATCTCAGAATTTAATTTGCAGTGGGGAATTAATTAACAAAACAGCACAGATTGCATGTTTAAATCATTCTCGTAAAAAGCGTGCTCACGTGGAGAATATAATCCAGTATAAGGCAAAAGATTAGCGCTATTACTGAAAAACTTTGTAAGAATCGGAAGATATAGTTGTTGTGATGTGCAGTGAATTATAATAAATGTCTAAACAATGTATTTAGCCATACAGTAAGACAATAATTATGAAAGTGTTTAATTATTGAGGTTATTTTATTTTATATGGAAATATTTTAAGCCACTTTGGCAGCATTTCAGAATTATTATTTTTAAAGATTTAATTAATTAAACATCTTGGTATTCATCTGACCAGACGGTCACCCCTATAACATAAATAAAAGTATGCACAAAACAGACGAGAAATATTAAATTGTTTTGCAACAACAAACGTGGCTCTGAATTCAGGCGATTCCACGCGAAAAAACAAACCTTGCCGCTGGTCAATGCGGAATTTTCATTCAAGGCATGGCGAAAAACACCACAACCTGCGGAAGCTGCAGATAACAGGGATTCCGAAATAAATAAATAAAATTGAACGGGCCTCCCCTTTGCCAACACGTGTAGAGTGCGCCTACCCAAATCCCTGCAAGCAGAAGCGGCGGCGGTATCCCAGGTGCAGCGTGGCACTCATCCGTGCGTACGTGCATTGAGCCTGAACGAAAATATAACAAAAAAAATGAAATACAAACGCTTTGTACTTGAGGTGTGATCCTTAGCAGAGGCTGGTGGCCCAGATTAAGTATCCACCCTCATGCTTGGCTGCTGAGATTATAGTGCCCCTTGCTGCCATCGCCATAGCCCCCCTCCCTCCCTCCCCCTGACACCCCCCCCCCAAAAAAAAAAATATCACTCGCTCAATATCTCAGCGTTTTCTGCACCCACGCAGCAATTTCCTCGCCTAAACACTTCACTGCACCGCGCGATAGCTTTGTGTTGCCGATATACATCACGTCGCTTGAAACATATTATGTATTTAGGTTTTTCATGAAAAAAATAATGTTTTAATTGTAATTTGATGATTATCTATTTGAGAGTTTTTTTTCCTTCAAGTCGCGGCATCGTTCCGCTATTTTCTTGCCATTCGGAGTTAAGGAGGAGGAAAAAAATGGACACGCACAGTCGATGAGTTAAAAGACGGTGAAAAAAACTGTGTTTTTCTATAGAAGTGGGGAATATCAATATTGTTCCCAAACAGCATTTCAATGTAACATCATTATCTCTGATGGCATATACTAGTCATAAGGAAGCGGTGACATTCAGCAAATTATGAATGTCGGTTTGCGTGCGCCTCATTAAAAGCCACTCCATTTCCTTTGAGCATCGCGAGCTTATTGCAAGCTTTTGTGGTGAAGCTGGCTGATGCATTTTTCGCGACTTACTATTTTTATTGTCTTTATGATGAATCCAAACTGAATGGTGCACACATTTTCCCAGCGATATGCAAGTCCCCGCCTAATTGCTGCAGGCTGCTCGCCATGCGCATGCCTCGGTCCGGCGCTGCACCGAGGCGCTGCCCTGCAACCGCCGCGGTAGAAAGGAAGAGAGCGGAGCGCCATGGGGCAACGTGTTTACCTCGTGTGTGTGGGGGGGCATCCGCGGGGCTGCAGCCATTAGGCTCCGCGGGACACCCTTTTCACGCTGGGATTAGTCTGTCTCTGGAATCTTATTCAACCTCAAGTCACCTTCCAATCTTCGGCGCGAGCGCGTGTCGTTCGCGGCGCGGGAACACTTGTGATTAAGCGCACGGCGGCGGGTTGAAGTCACGACGAGCCGTACCACCGGCGCATTCACGGAGACAAAGCAAACACGTCAATAGTCCGACACCCTGAAAGTCAAAAGTGCGTGTTATTTGCGCCCTTTGTCATAAGCCGATGCAATTATAAAGCCATAATTGCATCACCATTTTTGTACCCCCGTGCAATTTGAAAGCAATCATAAAGTGCTCAATACTTTGTGTGCGGGCAGGGCATATGTGCTCGGAAGACCTGTTCCGTGTCTGATGGGCAGCTCAGTTTTCAAGATCAAGATGTCACCGTGGCCGAAGCCTCTGATGCCACCACACCTCGCCAGCACTTTCTACCTTCTGCCAAATTCCGCGTGTGGAATCTGGCAGCGTGGTTTAGATGCGCCTTGCTCTCACAGAGTACTCAATTTTACCCTTGATATATAACGGCCCTGGTTTTCTTTTGCACAACATAAACTGTTGTTCGTTACGAGCCACCTTTGGCAATTTATTTTTCTTGGCTTGTGTGCTTTGCGCTTGGTAGGGGGCAATTTGCGTTGGACAATGCAAATAAATTGGCTTCATTACCTACCGTTTTATATTCCTCGGCCATCTGGGAGATTAAATTATGGCGCACTCATCCGCCACGGGGCATGACGTTGCTTTCTGTTCCCTACGCTGCGTCGTGGCAAATAAACCTCGATGCGGAAAACCCAAAGACGGTCGCTTTAACCGAGCATCGGCGCAGCTCCGGCGTCGAGCGAGCGAGCGATTCCGGACAGGATGCCGCTAAACCGCCACAGCGCCGCCGTGCTCCTCGCCCGTTTTATCTCCCGCTCGGTTAACGCCGGCCACAATTCTAAGCCACTGGGTTTATGCCGCTAATCTCCCGCGGTGCCCGGCTAGACTTCTCCCCGTCGAAGCCGGTTATGAAAAGTGTGATAAGTTCTTATTTGGCTGTGAAGGCACGCATGCACTTCATGCATCTTCCTCGTTGAGTAAAATCACGCGTCGTCATTTGATCGTCAGCCTTGGTCAGTCCACTGCTTGATGAAGAATCCTCCCAAGCCGTTGCCATCACCTGCGACGGCTCGATTCAACGATCCAACCCAGCACCTGCGCATGATCTGATCTCGTCGTTCCGTCTCCTCGGTGGACGTGCCCTTGGACATCTTCGTCACCACTTTACATTTTAACACGTTGCAGCCCCTTTCTCGATGCACTGCTGGAAGAAAAAAGTCTCCCGGAGTCGTATTGTCTCGTGAGGGTCGTTTTGACCAAACCACGCCGGCCAGTGCGGGGTTTTGTGAAGTGGAGTGGGGTCCAGACTCGGCTCGCATATCACTCACCATCGATGTTAGCTGTCACTGAACATTGTAGCACAGTGGTGCAGCCGCTCCACAATTCTTAATTAATAAGCTTAACGAAGACCCACATTGCATGACGTGTTTAGTACGACGCGCGTTTCTCTTTTTTTTCCGTCTCGTTTCCGTCCGAGCCTACCAATAAATGGCAACGCGCTCTACGGCTTGAAAGTGGCAACTTGAAAATAGGCAGATAAAACATCGGCGTGGTTATTTACTGTAATGGCCGGTGCAAACAGACAGGAGCTAATACAAGTCATCTCCATCAGCACGGTACATCTTACAGCGGCGCAATAAATTTAAACTCTCAGCTCTTATCCTCACGACCTTGTTACTTCAATTGATGCTAATGCACATCGCAGCCGACATATTCATGGGGTGCCTGTAGGGGTACAACAGCCTGCCGTCCCCAACCTCCATTTAGCTTCCCGGCTTCTCTGTGTTGCTGGTGCCTGCCCCCCCCCCCCCCCCCACCCTCCTCTCCACCACCTCCATGCCTTTCTTGAAGCTCACATGAAGGCTTTCTTTGTGTTTGTCTACCCGCCACCCTTGCCCTCACGTCTAAATGGAAATGGTAAAAATGTAATGGTGTGTCCCTGTGTCCTGCAGCACAGCAGGTAGGCGAATGGGCAATTATCCCACCCTGCCAGGCCTACCCAATTACTTGCTGGAAATATGGGTTTGCCCACTCATTTGACGAACCCACATGTACGCGCAATAGTACGCTTTGTCAATCTACTGCTTGATGAACTATGACCCCGTCCGGTTGGGTGCATTCGATGTTACAGCAGAGTACAGCACTACAATGGATTGTGCTATGTTGCCCACTGCTGCCTACAGCATACTCCCTACCACAAGTAGTCATCGAATTGACTTGGGACAACATTTAACCCTCAATTGAGCACTCATTTAATCGTAAACTGAATTAGAAATCTAACCCGAACCCTAACTTGTAAAAGTCAACGTAAACTTCCAGATACAGAACAACGGCACGTATCCGACTGGCTGAGGAATGGGCCGATATGTGAATAGGTCGGATACGTGCCAACATTTCCATGCCACGACGGGTGACACCACCGCACACACGAAAGGTTCCTGGATAAAATTCAAGCGTGCGCGGTTTTTAAACCTTGGGAGCGCGCTTCACGGCACTCGAGAGTGAAGCGAATAGTGAGCAAATGTGCAGGGGATCAAGAGTGCGTCGATGACAAGTTACACCGCGGGTGTGGGCGGTTCATTGGTCGAGACGTGACAGTCGGAATGTTTGACATTGCACTGCTGTCCATAATAGAGGGGTTGTTTGGTCGGGTCAGATCGCGTAAATATGAATGTGTCGTTAAACCCACCACCACCCGACACAGCCAATTAGTAAGGTTTGTCACGTGAACAGAACGTGCCAAATTCGTTACCGACAGATTGTAGATGTTGTGGGTTTACTTTCCAATACACTGGTGTGCTAAATTAGTCACAAATTTGCATGTTTTGTTAACGTGGCGCTGTCGGGTGGTGACGGGTTTAACGACACATTTATATTCACGCGCTCGAACCCAACCAAACCCTCTCATGGATAATATTGGTCGCGGAAGCCCTACTTACTACGTGTTGAACTGATGTCAATGTTTTGATTTCAGCCCATTTGATCAGTGCCCCGTTTCGTTCTAGGCACTTGATGGATTTGTGTTGGTTCTCAACCAAGAAGGAAGATTCCTGTACATCTCAGAAACCGTCTCTATATACCTGGGCCTTTCGCAGGTAAGAGTAAACATTTACGTTATTTCACTTGCAGTGTACGTACGTGCCTCTGGCCGCGCGATATCAGAATTAACGGGTGTTTTCGTGCTGGACTTCCAAACGCAGAGGTCGCCGGTTCGATACCCCAACATGGGAGCTTAAACAATCGGCAAGATTTTTACAATCCCCCTCTTCAACCGACCCCCTCCCTCCCACAGCCCTCTGTTCACCCAGCAGTATTATTAATGGGTGCACCACCGCCTATCGGTAGGTCACGTGTGGTGGGGTACAGTGTAAAAGTGTGGACAAAACCCACCTCATCCAAGATTTCTGGCCAACGTGGAAGAGTAGGCCAACACAGCTTCTAGAGTGAGCTCTGTCGAGCTCCCTCTAGTGGAGGGCCCTTCTGCAACCAGTGGCTTGAGCAACACATTTCATGGTTGCACCTTTACCTTTGACCCATGAGATAAAAAAAAAATTGCAATGTACAGCCCTTTGCAGATCCATTACTTCCCGACAGGACACATCGGTCATGGGGGTTGTTTGACCATCATTTACCGGTGAGTGCGCTTTGGCGAAGCCCGAGGATTTGAGGACCGGTGCAGATATCATTCGCCACTGGTGAGAGCCGTGGCCGGCAATTGAACTCAGGCGGCAAGGTTTATATCAACGTGCACATGCCACTGTGTCTCCGCCTCTCCGCTGTGCACCCTTGTGTTAACATTAATAATACAGCACACGCACGGCAAACCGCGTGGCCTTAAACTCACCACGCTTACCGAATGAAATCAAAGATTATTGTCTCTCAGACACACTGCGAGTAAAATCACAGCCTCAGCCGAGCAAATAAAAAGATATAAATCAGCTTCCCTCGGTGTCAAAGGGCTGTTGTCTGTCAAGGAATGAGCGTACATCACTCCATGAATAAACATCAAGCCGCAGCTTGCTCTGGTTTCGAAATGTTTCAGATGGCGAAGCCCACGTCTGGAGAGTTTGATTCATACCGACGCGCGGTTACCCAGCATCGTCGCTATTGAGCCCGGTGCTGCCCGAGTAAATCACTTCAACAAAGGGCCCTTGCAGTCACCTTCATGCATTTAGAGTTTCCAATGAAATTTTATTTTAATTACTCTTGCGTGTGTGCGTGCGTGCTCCGCTGTGATAAATTAGGCTAATTTCTTTTTGTTTCGATTTTAGTACCGTATTGCGTTGTTTTATTTGCAGCAAAAAAAAATGATGTAATTTATTACAAAGGAGAGGGGAAATTGGTGAATGGAAATTGGTGGAAATAAAATGTGTTCATTATAAGCCTTAAATTATTTCTGGAAGATGACAGTGATGATGGTGATGATGATTGTGTGCGTTCGTCAGGAACGCTGTGGTTTAATAGACACTACACTGAACTCCAAATCCTATTTCTGATCATAGTTTTTAAGCGACTCCATCTAACACAGCATATGTTTATCCAATGGTGTAAAATGTATTGGCTGCAGTTTGTCAATGAGCAACCGCCCCCCCCCCCCCCCCCCGTGTCACCCGAAACGTCCCTGATCCCCACTGGATCTTTGAAGCTTAGGAGGGTCGTGTTCGAATAGTGCATAGGATCGGGAAGTACATGTGCTTGCCTGGTGTTGTAGGCTACGAAGTACCAGGGGGTAGCAGTGCAGCAATCGGTGCTGTGATGTTATCTTCATCCTCTGGTATGCAAGAGGTCGGGGTTTCCATCACGACCTTGACGCCTGCTGTATATTTGGAGTTTGCATGCTCTCCCCCTGATCACGTGGATTTTTTTCTCCGGGTCCTCCGAGTTTTTCCCTCCACAGTTGGAAACATGCATTGAGATTATTTATATTATTTTGCCGCTGTAAGTGTCCAAATGATGGGCCACTTTGTTGAGCTATCATTTGTGGCCAGATCACTTCTGAAAAATAAATGAATGCCTCCGTGGGCTTGGCCTGGTAGGACGGGGATGGTTTAGTTGTAGTTTTTGGCGTCAGGGTGATTTGGTTACGTTTCTTGTACTTTGCACTCCTGTAGTGTTGTTGTAACTGATTGTTGTTGTAACGTTCCCGACTGGATATCTGTGAAAAAGAGCTTGATAGCTTATCGGATTTTTCCAATCTAAATAAATATTCTGATTCTGATTCTGGATTGAACCTATTTGAGCAGAGCTTCGAGAGTTATCCCCACATGTCCCAATGCAGCAAGAGCCCTCCTATAAAAGAGTTTCCCGACTCAAGTGTATAATTCCTTGGTAAATAAAAGTCATAATTTAACTGGATATATCCATTGCTTGATAAAAGCAACTTCCATTGCTACGTCGGTAACAGGGGATGTTTAACAATACTTCACCACGCTGGGTATCAAATCGGCACTGATGTTAGCCGTGGCTAGATATCAAATTCAGGTCACTCGGGTTCATGGCAAAGTTCACGTGCTCATGTTATCACATCCACCGATAGACCTGGTAGATTGCACGAGTGTTTGTATGCGAGAAAAAAACCTTAAACCATCGCGTCCGTATTCATGCGCTGTGTAACAAAGCTGAATAGACAATTCCTGCACGTTGCAGCCACGTGTTCTCCAAAAGGCTGAGCGGTGTTTAGGCTTCAGAGTATGTAGCTAATGGCGAAGAACACAATAAGTCAGGACCTTGCGTTTCTTTGTAATAGGACACGTGGAGCTAAGTGAACATGATTAATTGCCTGTTGACACAAGGAATGTGGGACGCAATGGCTTACACTTGTAGGCAGTTCTATAGCAATGTTAACATTTTGTAGGTGACCCGTTTTTTTTTCAGTTTCCCCCCCCCACCCCATGACCAGGGCTGCGTTATTATTCTCCAACTTTCACGTTGAGACGGGCGGGCAGAGCAGGGGGGTGGTGGGGGCGGACAACGACAAACAGTGGCACGTTTGCACTTTGCTGACCTTCGCTCGCCACACGATCACAGAAGCGGCTTCGTGGCCGCTCCCTGACACCACGAGACACTCTCGCCTCACGCGGCGTCAAATACAGAGCATCTCTGGACAGTGCAATACAGAGTCGTGGCAGGCCAATACATAATAACTGGGAGGTGGAGGCATAGGCAGTAATGACACGGTGCTGTCAAAGACAAAGAGCCCCCTTTATAGCCTGCAACAGATTGTTTGGGCAAGGGCTGTTAGCGAGCACCTATGAAGGCCCGAACGGCAAACGAGGTGGTGGGTGGCCAGCACCACGCCCGGCCGCCTTTGTCTCCACAGTAGCGATGTTTACGCATCGCACCAAGTAACTGATTTGAGGCTGAGTCCACCTACGGGAGGCCGAGGAGCTGTTTACTTAATGGTCACTGGTGTTGGCCGTGAGCGGGAATCGAACCCGGCTCGCCAGGGTTTGTAGCGCAAATCGCTAACCATTGGGTCACCGCTCCCCACACACACGTAAATACGCATGATGAAGGAATAAATAAACAACCCACCAGATTGAAGAGAGGTTGATGAAAAAAATCGATCATGAGCTACAGAATTGAGATTGCAATTACGGAAGGAATTAATGCAGAATAAATAACAGATATTCTAAATCTGAGGGGATTAATGTCGAATGTATAACTGGTAATCTAAATCTGTGGGAAATGTTTACATCTGAAGGTGAAGTCTCAAGATATAAATTGTTGGTCTTGAATTCCTAATTTGCCCCAATGTCTGCGTTATTTGAAATTTTAACACGGGTGACGTAAAAAAATATAAAGGTTGTATATTTCCACAGTAAATCAACCGTTTGATCTGTGAAGTGGAGTACCAAGCAATATAATGCAGTATTGGAAAAGCATTTTAAAATACTTATAATATAATAGGTGGCATCATATATACTGTAAGTTACTACCGCAAGTCATACAACGATTATATTGTGCCACAAAAATAGCGTAATGTATTCTTCTCTCCTCTTTCATTTCTATTTTAAATATGCATCTAAACATTTACAGCTTGGGAGTGGGGCTGCGAATGAACAAATACGGGAGACTCGTGCACGAGCTCATTATTCTTATATTATTTCTAATCGAAACGTTGCCTGGAAGGCAAATACGTGTTGCAGGATCACTTATTTTGGCATCTGAAAAGGGTGGAGTGGTCTTGACGTGATCTGTCAGCAAGCCCTTGTATATAAGGACATATGAGATGCATGTTTGTGTGCATTATTGACAGCCTGGCACATGCTCTCTCCCGTTCTGAGCCCGAGTCTCTCCCCACCGTACATTGCAGCCAGACGCTCCCCGTCCACTTGACTTTGTACATCTCGCGAATGTGCATCTTAAAGTCCGTTTCGACTTTGCCTTGTTTTATACTTAATACTCACACGCATATATATATTTGAAACCAACAGAATACGGTTCTTCCCAATTTTCTCCATGGGAGGAAGAGGCATGATGTGAAGGGATTTCCATGCCTGTAACGCCCGGTGAAAGGCAAGCCCATCAACGTCACATCAATGATCACGCCTGGGAATATGACGACCAGACCAGTTGCTTCCAGTCTGTCATTGCCAGGCCCATTTTTACACATCCAGGCAGTGACCGTTTATGTGTGTTGAACTTCTTTCGCACCGTACGTAACCAACCACGCTCATCGAAAGGTGCGGGGAAAGGAAAACAAGCTCGACACACAAAGCAGCTGTAAAGAAATTAGTTTTCAGTCTAAAATTAGTTTCCCCAACGAATGTCCCCTGTACACGTGACTGCTGGCTGTGCTGAAGTCTACACAAGGCAAAGCTGCAGCCACTGCTGGCAGGATGACCTCCGCTAGACAGGCATTTTGGCCGACTTTTCACACTGACCAGGCGTTTTGGAAGAGGTTGGAGTAGCCACACTTTACCCCACCACACGTGTCCTGCTCGTCGACCAACAGTAGGGTGACCCCATGCATATTGCAGGTGGAACGGAGATGGGAGGGATTTAGAAAAAGTGCCCATCGTGTTGATTCCGATATACAGAGATAGAGTTGCCTCACAGGGGGAGATATTTACACGATATTTTACACATTGTA